AGTTATCATTGCTAGATCTCGTTAACGGAAAGAATTAAGACACCAAACTAATAGGGATGGTAATTTGATGAGTAGACAAATCCTTTGATTTTAAAGATTATCCACCGTCACTTCCGGTTGTCACAGGAAGTTATCAAATAAATCAAAAATTTAAACTTTTCTTTATGGAATTTTCTTAGTATTACCTTATAGCATCTTTCTAGTAGTTTCAAATATGAGTCCTATTGAAAACAAAAACGACGACTTCCGGTTATAGAGAAAAACTGCATAAATTGAGTTTCTTACTACCCCAAAAATATCTTTTATAAAGAGAGTGTTTGAAATGATTTTGGGACATGTTATTCAGACTGCAAATGTCTGAGAAACCTCAAAATGAGACCTCTGACCCTTACTAAAAAGTAATAAAGAAATATTCATTTTTATCAGATTCAGCTTCAAGTGTTTATCTCAAGTTTACCTCTCTCTCTCTCTCTCTCTCTCTTTTTTTTTTTTGATGACCTTGACCTTTGACCTTGTTCTTTGGCCCCATTCCCCCAAAGGTACAATCAAGCTTACGGTCGTGGAGGTTTTGCAACTTTTACTCTAACAAATGTTTAAAAATACCCCTCCCTTCTAAAAAAAAAAAAACAAAACAAAACAATTAATACCAACTTAGAGAAAATGTCTACAAGTCAAACGAAACGAAATATCGGCATAAGATTCGTAATAAAAGAAAGAAGAGACCTGAAAGAAAGTGTCCCGAGAGTTTTAAGGTGAGTCTCTGAAGTATTTTGAAATTCTAGTGAATCAAAAACTGCATTTTTTTTTCTGTCTGAAATTTAGTTATTGCTGAGCATAAAAATTAATTTAAACTCGTATTGGCTATTTCTGCAATTATTGTTAATATCATTCGATTTTGTCCATTACGACATTTTAATACCAAGTATTCTTGCTTTCTTAGGTGTATGGAATATTTTTAATTTTTTTAAGATCTAAATATGAATCGGCTGAAACTCGGAAATGAGATTTTTCATATCAATTAAATTTCCACGAATTGAGATAGGTTAATTGCAGTTACCCCCCTTAATACGATATGATGTTGAAAAAATGCCCATGGCTCATTCACTGTTTTTCCGGGATTTTGAATTTCCTCTGCAACTGACCACGTGTATTACTTTCGCTTTTACAACTTTTTATATGCTAAGTGTCATTGCTTCACTGCAAATGTGTCCCATAATTATTCTAATCATTTTCCTACATACAATATCACTCAAAAAGCCTATATTCCCTTTTTAAAGAAATTTACCGGGACTTTACTAGAAACTGTTTCTTTTACTTCGAAACTATTTCCTTCAACCTTAAAATAATAAGCTTACAAAATACCTTAAATGTTGTGGAATTTGGTGGCTCAGCGGTTAGCTGTCCGACTTTCACACTAATGGTTTTGGGGTCAGCCCAGATGGAGGAATTTTTTTTTCATTTTTTTTTAAATGGAAAAATATTCTTCTAACAGATAAATAGAGAAGAAGAAAACCCTTTTTTGTTGCTATAGCAACAAGAGTTTCTAGTTATTCTTCTTCTTCTTCTTCCTGGAACTTTTTTTTCCGGGAATGATTCGTAAACTATACATCCGACTAAGGTGAAAGTTTTTAGGGTCAGTAGACATGTTATGTAGATTTGCGGAACAAGGTCATTTTTCGCGCACGTGCTTGCAAGAGCGCACGTGCAACATGGTTAGACCGATTTAATTGATAAAGGCGTAACTTTTTTAATTTTTGATGAAATGCTTTGAAACTTATAATAAAGAATATATTAGTAGCATAGACAATATGACATGGTCAAAATGCAAGATCTGCGCATGCACGTGCGCTTTGCTCTGATTGGCTGAAACTAAAGTCTCAATATCTTTCTTGTTTTTTTACGAAATCCTTTGAAATTTTGAAAATAGCCATGCATTAGGATATCCCACAACATGATATATAGCAATTATCATGAAAACACGTGCATGCACGTGCGCTGCAATCTGATTGGCTTAAACTTTAAAAAGCTATAACTCCCTTGATTTTCAACCAAACAGGATGGGATTTGGAACATAGATAGATATACTGGACTACTACAAGAAAATATGGTCTCCATGCACATGCATACACGTGCATGTACGTGCGCTGCAATCTGATTGGCTGAAACTTTAAACAGCTATAACTCCCTTGGTTTTCAACCAAACGGGGTGGGATTTAGAACATAGATAGATGTAACGGACATCTACAAGAAGGTATAATCACCATGCTCATGTATCCCGTGCGTGCACGTGAAAAAGCAAAAAAAAAAAACAATTGAATGAGCGTATCTTTTTAATACTTTTGGATTACATACTTTAATATTAAATATATTAAAAAATTTTAGATTGTGTAGACAAGATGATATGGTCATTACGCACTGCTTCACATGTGCACGCGTGCAATGCTAAAATTTGAATGAACTTTGTACACTTCTGGGTAAACGTTTTTAAGTCTCAAAAGCATCGAGTTTGTTTATTTAATGAAGCTTGGGAAAATGGCACCAAAAGGGAGTTGGGGAGGTTTGGGAAAATTTGAACTCCCCCTTACAATTAGCACTAGTTCTTATTATTTTTCTTCCGCTGATTTTTTTGTTTTTACATTAATCGAAAAGACTTTTTGTTCATATAAAGGTATTTAAAAAATAGGAACAATTGACCCAACGCATATGAACTGTGACCGCAAAATATGAAAATAGTACTGTCTTAGCATCATTAATATGTACCCTTAAAACAATTTTAAAGAAAAAAAAAAATGTATTGCCCTTTGTGCGAACAAACCTTGTAATAATTACTTCTTGGAAACCGTAAAGAGCAGAGACATGAAACTTTCACTAAAATTTCCACTTCTTGAGAAGGCTCGGGAAACTATCATTGCAAAAGTATTCCTGACCCCTTCAATGAGTTTTGCCCCTGAAAGTCTTTGAATTTAACAAATAATTAAAAAATTTCAAACTCGAAGTCGTAGAGACATGGGACTAACTCATCAAATTTATCACCTTTGATCTTAATATTCATGTAAAGGTCAAAGGTCAAGGACATTCATAAATTGAGAACTTTAGCTTTTTACATATTCTTTGTCTTTTAAAATATACAAACTGTCTTAGCACCATTTATGTACTCTTTAAAACCCTTTTAAAGATTTAATTCGTATCCCTTAAATTAACTATTAAAAGTTATTGCCCTTTGTGCAAAACTTTTTTAACTTTACAAATAATTAAAAAAAAAAAGAAGTCATATTAACATGGGACCAACTGAAGAAGATACAATGACCTTTAATTTTATTTTTTTGCAAAGGTCAAAGTCATTCCAAAAAATAATAATCTCTTTCAAAATCTCTTTTGTCTTTCAACATGTACATTATATCTTTTCATCATTGATATGAACTCTTAAAACTATTTTAAAGATTTCAACTTGTACCCTAAGTTTGACCCTTTTAAAAGTCATTTCCCCATTCAAAAAACATTATGCTACTTTTCTGAAACCGTAAACCATAGAGTTACCAAACCTTTGCTTTTTCTTTACTGTCTTAAGATACAACTTCAATATATCATTGTGTAAGAATCTGATGACCTCTTATATGAGTATATGAGTTATTGCCCTTTAACGCATTAGCGCTTGCTATTAAAGATTTTAACTTTAAGTGTATAAGTAGTAGAGACATGAGATTAATTGCAATGGATTCTTGACCATTGACCTTGTCGATTTGTCCAAGGTCGTATGTAATGACATTTCAAAGTTTTTATTTTTTAAATTTTCTTTATTGCTTAAGCTATTTTTAAAAATTTTTTTTTTAAAATTCATATAAGAGAGTAAAATTATAAAATATAAAAAAAAAAAATTAAAAGATGGAAAAAAACCTCTAATTGATTCTTCTTTTTATTTTTCTACCACTAATTTTTTTGTTTGGGATTTGTTGAAAAGACTTTTTGTTCATCGTTATGAAGTTATGAACAAATTTGACCCAACGTGTATCAACTATATATGACCCCTTTCCAAGTTATTGCCCCTTTCGTAAGAAATCTTTTAGAATCCCCAAAAGCGTAAACTGCAGATATTCAAAACCTTCACTTATGTCTTTGACTACTTGTGGGGACTCTTCAATCTTTCTCGCGAAAGTATTTACATTTAATCTTTAAAATCTTTTGACGTTTTATCAATGCCATTGAAAATTGATGAAAAAACATTTTTCGATATCCGTTTGTTTGTTTTACTTAACTCATATCTGTTGCACCCTTTCAATAAATAGTTAAGAAATTAAAACTGAATAAAGATGTTATAAGAATTCATGATTGTAAGCTAAGGTGAACTGCTATTGCTTCATGATAGCTGTAGTATGTTGGAATCACTGACACGTCTACATTGGGGCAGCCTCTTGCATAGACATACTATGCTGCCCTTTTCAGTGTTGGGTTTTGAACATATTGTTTGAATCCTCTAGATGTCATAAAATTGAAAACAGTTGTCTGACCTTTCATGATGTCTTGATTGAAATCTCCAATAATAACAAGTCTATCTGACTTAGTTTCCAAGACATTTAAGAAAGAACTGAAAGTTTCAATGAATTTTTCAATCAGGTATTTCTGTGGTCTATATATGACAGCCACTAAAGTGTCAGAACTGGTTATTCTAAACACTAACATCCAAACTTTTAGAAATTTGTTTTATTTCATCGTATCCAACTCTTAATCTGTAGTACACACTCACGCCTCCGTGTTGCATTTCAATAAGGGCAACTGTTATCAAAAGTTGAGCATCGTGTAACATGACTTGATTGAAACCCTCTGATATCTGTAAACTTTGATTTAGAATCAAACCATTTTCTGTCAGAAAACAAAATCTGCATTTTTGAGATTTTTGCTGTGTTTAAGATCTTCTTCATGCTGCAATAATCCTTGGATATTATGATATAATATTTTGACACAATCAGTCTTTTCCTTTTCCATGGTTGGTAAATACTTTGCCATTAATGAAATGCCACCTTCAATGTCAGGATCACAGCGTATCTTCTTGTGAACTTTCTTACATCCATGTCATTGATGTAAAGTCCATTTATTGAAGTAACTCTACTTAAGGCAACATAAGCTTGGCCAGGCGCAAAACATTTGTTCAAATCAACGACACATTCTTTAACTGTTAAACCTTGAACTTTGTGGACAGTGCAGGCCCAAGCCAATTGTAAAGGATACTGTTTCCTAACACCATTTTTCATAGGAACGTCTTCTGTCGAAGGATGCAGTCCTACACATCTTTTATCATTTATCACCTTTTGTAATTTTGCATTTTTGCCCACATTTTCATTGTCAAAATGAATGTAGATGACAGCTGGCAGTGATGAACCGGACTGTTTTCCAATGTGCGCAATTGTGCCCATCACTCCGTTTACAAGTCCATCGTGAACATCTTCATTTCTTATTAACATTACTCTTGCTCCCTCTGCCAATAGAAGAGAAGATCGAAGGCAGATGTCAGATTTGGTAAAGTGGGTGTCTCTTTTCAAGAGTTTGCCAGATGCTTTCTTTTTGTCAAAGTCCTCTGCTTCAATCAATTTTGGTTCAGGACATGTCTTTAATATCATATCATTGTTATATGCATTGATCTCCTCATTTGTTGAGAATATGTGCAAAGCTTCCAAAGGACCCTCTCTAATGCATTGTTGTAATGTCTCTCTATCTGACACAGACAATGTCTCATTGCCTTTTTTCACACGCAATCTGTTTAAAAGTAATGCAAAAGAGCCATCTTCTTTTTGTCGCATTATTTCATCCAATTCAACAATTGAAAATAACTCGATCCATAACTGATTCATTGGGTTTGCAGGGTCATTCACATACAATTTATCTGTGCGTTTTGTTCTCACAGGGGGAAGCTGATAAAAGTCACCAACAGCAATAACTGAAACACCTCCAAATGCGCAATTTTCTGGCATCTTTTTTAGCTGACGTAATCGTTCATGAACAAAAAACAAGAGCCTCTTGTTAACCATTGAAATTTCATCAATGATAAGAATCTGAAGGTTTTCCAATTTTTGCAACTGTTTATTTTATCCTCACTAAGCAATGCATGTGTAATGAGTTCTTTTTATTTTGTGGCCGGAAAAAACGAAACACTGTAGAATCAATTAAACAAAAAATAAATTTATTAAACAGATCAAACAAATGAATAAACAAACAAAAACACAAAAACCTTACATACACCACACTCGCAAACACTCACAAAAGAGAGAAAAAAATAACTTTACAAAGAATAAACTGACACGCCAACAAACAATGAAGTTAAAATTGCGTGCCGAAATAAATATCAAACAAAACTTGTTTAATAAAACAGTAATTTTGTTTTAAAAAAATTATTAATTTAAGTTGGCCAAAAAGTTAAAATAAATTTTATTTTTTCAAATACTCTTTATTCAATGTTACTTTAGAAATGTTATCTGAATTAACCAAATTGGGAGTTTGTCTGACAACTGTTTTTATTTCAACACTATTGGCACCACTGGGCCTCCATACACCGCTGGGTCGACACCACGTTCACTGACCGTCTAGACCGCCGGACTACAGGTCCCCCTTTTTTATAACGTCTCAAAAACATCATCCCTCCGTTAGAGGGGAGCTATGGTGTTCCAACGAATCTGTAGGACGTGGTACACGTATATCCTTACCGCCGCCCCCCCTCCGTATGCTCTATCCTAGACACAAACTATCACTCACATCTCCCGTCCTAAGCCCCGAGTATATGCCATGCCCTATGCACTAAAATACATTAAACAACATTTCTAGAATACTATCAAATAACAAAAATATAAACACCTACATAACACAAAACAAGATACAGACAAAAAGTAACAAACTCCTATAAATAGTAACGAAAACAAGCTTAACGGTAAAAAACAGAAATGACCACACATAGAATTTCACCGTTCCGGGCTCCGGTTCCATACTTATTTCTAGAATTCACCAATTATAAAACGTCCATGGTTACCAAAACTGTAGTGTGTCGTGGCACAATGCCCCTTGCACCCCACACTCGCTTTTCTGTAAACCCGTTTTTAAATTTAGCTTATATACATACCCTAAACTTGGAAACGCATAACCACAAAAACTCACAAGGAAAACACAAAATTAAACATAATATTTACTAAACAAAAGTCAATTCATCACGCATGGTAATGATAGAGATTTGAATATACCAAGAGCCTGTGTATTTTCATTCCATGGATTTAAATGCTGTGTCCAGGTGGGGCATCAATAGAACAGTTAAATCATGGGATTTTTGAAAGACGTGCAATAATCCAAAATCCCTCCCTGCTCAAAAGGCCCTAGTGCCAGCATAGGCCTAAATTTGCAGCCCTTCACCGGCAATGGTGACGTCTCCATATCAGTGAAATATTCTGGACGGGACTTAAACAGTAAACAATCAATCAATCAATCTTGAGGCTTCATAAAAATACATCTTATCAGATGACTTTTGCCTGTGCCAGCTCCACCCGTTACAAACAAATGAAAAGGATCTGGATTTGGCCATTCTTTTTCTTCAACACCCCGTCTCTTCTTTTTAAAACACTTCTTGTTGCTTTAATTTAGTGACTGAAGAAGAGACGTTATTTCACTTTCTCTGGCAAAAAAACACAGTAAATTCGTTCCTGGAGCTCTTTGATTGTCTGTACTTAAATCAGGCACTGATTTCTCTTAAACGTCTACATCTTCTACAATTACATTTGTCTGTCATCCATGCATTTTATTCTAATCTGTTCTGTTTCTGGACACAGTTTACACCATGCATCCTCTTGAGAACCCTGTGCTTCAAAGACTCTTTGCTTCTTCTAAGTTTTAACAAATTCTGACATATTGCTATCCACAATGTGTTTCACTGACAGTAACGTTTTCTCTCCAGAATACTTGACATACCCCGTTTCATAGAAATCTCATACTTTGAACTTTGTGGGCTTAAGTTACATTTTCTTTTATGGCAAAACAATTCAAGATACTTTGATAGTACTTTTCACTTGCAGCCTCTACTGAAAATCTGGGGGAAATCTGATGATTGCTGGTTTTGTTTTTGTCCTTTTTCTAATGTACCCTAAATTGTTTGAAAGTTTGAATGTTGTTTCTTCATTTAATTTCTTTGGCATTGTGATTGGCAAAAACAGCAAATTCTGAACAAAATGATGCCAGGCACATTTTCTGAAACATATCAGTGTTTGGTCTACCTTCATATCTGTCAACAATATTTTTTAGCCATTTATCAGACTCATCATTTGCACCATGTGGTTTTGTAAATCTTTCTGCTTTTTTTTTTAAGTCTGTTTTCTAACATCTTTAAAAGGAATGTCATTCTACAAGGATTTTCTCCAACTGGTACAAATTCCACCTTCCTTGAACATTCCCCCAACCTTAATCCAGTCACTCTATAAACAGCCTCCTGAGCACTTATCTCTCTGTGGTATGTAAGCAGTACCAATTTTTTTATTCCTCCTGTGGTGTAGATTTCCTTCAATAGCCTCATTCTTTGTATGTTGCAGTAGTAATCCTAATTCTTTTCAGCTTTACTTTTTTAACTTATGATGTAAACAACACAGGAAAATGCATCAAAAATGATGGATGTACATATTTGCTTTCCAGGCCTTCAAAAGATGTTTGTTGTATTGATTTGATAAACTTTTTGGGGTTTCTTTTTTTCAAAACAACGGTTTTTCTCTTTGTAATGTAGCAAAGCTAGTTAAAACTCTTTTTGTGAGTCCAGATTTCTGAATAATTTTGCCTTGGAATATTTTCTTTTCTTTTAAAGTGCCCAAAGAAGTGATAGTCTTTCTTTGGCCACTTGATCTTCATTTCTGTCAGTAGAACTAGTTTCGTGAGGTTTAAAAATGAATTTCTTGGGAAGGTGGTCTTGGAAAGTTAAATTAAAACTTTTCCCTTTTTTTTTGCATGATTTGGAATGGTTTTTACTGTGTTGCTTACAGCCATTACAATGTCGTGTGCCTCTTGATCCTCTTGTTCATCTGGAACTTCACATGTTACATATCTATTATAAACTCCACAACTTCAGTATCAGAGTCTTGTCCAAATTTCAGACCTTCTATCCAAAACAAACAGTGTGTATTGGTCCCCTTTTTGTTAAAATTCAATTCTGTAAAAATAATCAATACTTTTCCAATCGGTTCAGCGTTGACATGATTATATTTTTAAAAATGCTAAATCTGTGGTCAAACATTCAGCGAGAACGGGATTACTAAGCAGAATTTTGCATTTATCATTCCATGTGAGGTTTTCAAACTTCCGTGATCTCCCTGCTGTTTAAAAAAGTTTTACAATTTCTGTCCATCTAAAATCTGCAGATAAAAAGGGAAACAAAAAAACTGAGGAATAAATTGAAGTTCATTCAAAGATATTTTTTTTGTGCAGCTTGCCAATATGGTGGGTTCCGCGGACTGGTTTTAAAAATTTGATTGCTTCATCCTTTCTAAAGAGATTCTTTAGAACATTCTTGTCACATAGCATTTCTCCGGTTATTTTGGTCCCATACAGAAAACGCTGACTTTTCCTAATGATATTTAACATTTGAAGTAACTCTTTCTAATTCTGATAAATATTGACTAAGGAATAAATAGGACGTATCTCTAGGAAACCTATTCTCGACACTCATCAATCAAGATTACAGTACTTTCCAAGTGTTAACTTTTCATTTCGTTCTTCTAAATAAGTGTTTTTTTCCCCTCGGAAAATGAACAGGGGAAAATTTTTGCTTCAATGCCTTTCTTTTAGAACAGAAACTGGACTGTTTCCTTCTGCCGGTGAAATTTCAAACACTTGGTCAAAGCATAAATCCAATACTTCTTGTCCGATGTCAGTTGGTTGTAAACAAGTATCTAACTGAATTCCTCGTAAGTTTTCATTTAGGAATGATTCTGATTCATTTTCTGTACATTTTCTGTGGAATCATCATTGTTCTCTGAACATTGCACATCTATGTGTATTTTGATTTGGTTTTTAAATTTTAAAAATACCCAATTCATTTTCTTCAGGAATTGGGTTTAGCAAATTTTCATTTATTTTGACATAGAGTACCACATTGTTTTCTTTTATGAAATCAGTGCTTCCTCCAAATGTTTAGAATTTACAAACTGATATTCTTCATATCCCTTGTATTTCAACTTTCCTTCAATTTTAAATTTAGCAACAGATTTTGTCCTCTGATCTTGGCAAGATAGAGGTTACTTTTCTTAGATCGGAAGGCACACAAGAACAGGACCATGTAAACCCCCCGTACCTTTTGGCAAACCAAGCATTTTCATGAAAGGTATATGCAGTGCTATCAGATGCTGTTCTAACAATTTAGACATTCAAGCTCTTCAGGTACCTAGGTATCTAACTCGGTGTTCTTTGCAAATGACATACAGGGTACATCTTCTTTCAATAACTTTCTGTGGCATGTATAACAAATTTAGAGGTTTGTCCTACTTTTTCCAGCAAAGGACACCCAACACAGTTGTGTTTCATTTGTGCAGATATTTCACCGAAATACACGTTTTAAGTAACACGCTGTCGTAATTCTCCTTATTGCAAATGAGTACCTGATTTTCAAATAACAATCTGAAGCAACATTAGCAAACATATTCTGGTCCCCTTTTAATATCTGCTTTGAATTTCTCAATAACATTTTCAATATTTTCAGATTCTTTTTTCAGTAGTCTTTTTGAATTTTACTTGACTTTTAATTTTATCTCTGTGTGCTTCATTTTGGGCATATTTAAGTTTTTTCTTTGACTGCTCTTAAAGAACAAGATATGACGTTTTTGTTACAGCCTCCCATTTCCTTAAAAAAATTATCTGGAAATGAGACTGGAAACAAATAAATAATCTTTTAGATAAGAACCTAAACTAACTAAAAATAGCATAAAAATGTTTCAGTTGCTTGTTAGTTTGTGCCGGG